CTCCCCCGGCAGCTGCAGTGGGCTCCCAGAGGGACCAGCCAGGTAGAGACCAGGGCACGGGTCGCTCAGGTAGACCTGGCGGGCGCTGCGAAGCACCAGTGAGACCAGCAGGTTCTTGTGCAGCTTGATGCCACCCCGCTGGACCCGCGAGTTGTAGATCTTGCCCAGCGAGATGCTGACGATGCGGTGCGCCTCCAGCTTGAACTCCATCCTGCTTGCCGTCCCTTCACCGGCCGGCAGGCGCGGAGGTGAGGGCTGAGCCCGGGCTCCGGGTCAGAAGCGGGGAGAGGAATCGCAGGCCTCAACAAGTCGGCCCCAGGGGACCCTCGAGAACTGAAGTGAAGACTACGAGAAACCAATTTTGATGACGTGCTCACTGACCCCTACGTCCCCTCCACTAAAGACAAACATTCAGCCCCTCGTCCGGTCGCTAACTGAGGGCAGCCCCACCGCCCGGCGCCTTATATAGGGTCCTCGCCCGCCAATCGCGAAGGGCGGCCAACCATTCCGGGGCGGGCTGACACGCCCTCATGAGCTGCGCGCGGCCAATCGGAGCCCGAGGAGGGGTGCCAGAGCCTTTCGAACGTTAGTCCCGCGGAGCAGACTCTTAAAGGGGACAAGGTGTGCGGCTCCGACCCACAGGCCTGCGCAGGGCCTGCGCTCAGAGGGTGGCTGACGGACGGGAGGAGGCGTAGCCCTGTATTGTTTGTAGGTAAAAGTTCTGGTTTGCGCGCTGGCCTGCCAGAACCAAAGCAAAACAAACCATTCGAACTTTCATCTGAGCATGGAGGTGGACTTTGCTCTGCAATAAAGCCCGGATCCTTCCTGATTAGCCTACCCCGCACCTCCATTTCCAAGGCGGCGCACACCTGAAAGCTGCTGGTCACCCCTGGAAGAGCTGGAGATGACGGCAAAACGTGGCAAGGGAGACCCCTGGATAACAAAATCGGATTACTGCAGATATTTAGCAGATACTAATTTTGTAGGAGTCCCTTACCCCCTGAGTCACATACACTCTTAGCATCTGTTAATTCTAAACCTGAAAAAAGAAAAGGGGGGTTCTAAAAGTTCCTACATTTTGGTTGCTTATCAGGAAATTGTGTCTCGGTACAAAGTGATTGGTTCTCCACTAGAGCCGCACCTATCACTTTGTGCTCTAGATTTTAGAACAAGCACAGCTGTCACATAGGTTAGGTGGAAGGTGGTGCAGGTTCCTCACAATGGTTTTTCTCCAACAGGAGGGCTGACCAGCCAACCTGGGAAAAGTCAAGCAAGTTCTAAAAATACAAATAGAGAAGCCCTGTATTCTCATCGTGATGTCATACTTTTATTTTGTGTCAAGGTAAAAATGTAGGGGAAGAGTGTTCCAGAATTTTCTGGTCAGTCAACAATCTACTGACCCTTAGTAGATGGCATTAGGGCAGAGTCACCACAGGGTTGCCCAGGGTCCTGGGCTGGGTTCCTGGAGGGTCAGTTCCGGTTAGTCCCACAGGTCCTGAAGACAAGCATCCTGTGTTGGAATCCCAGCTCCACTTTTTATTTGCTGTGTAACCTTTGGAAAGTTTTTTAACCTATCTGTGCCTTGGTCTTTTTCATCTTAAAAAAAAGATAATAATAGTGCCTACCTCTTAAGAGTTTTTGTGAGTTAACATGCGAAGCTCTTAGAACAGCCTGGCACATAATAAGCAACCAACGTACGTTAGTTATCAGAACACATCACCCCCAACACGACCTTGGTGTGGGAGAAGAGACATGGGGGGTCGGGGAGAGGCATAGAGGGGAGAAGCTGTATTTGAGGAGGGTGTTGAAAAACCCTGAAGTAGAAGCCACAAGTTCCAAGCAGCAGGAGAAATAGAGTCCTGCATAGGGAACAACCTACTTGGCAGGTGTATCAGGCACCTATAGTAAGTAGAAAAGGCTAGAAACAGAGGCTGGGCCTACATGAGAGGGGGTCATGGGTGGCTCAGTGAAGAGATGGGACCACTGGGAGCTGCTAAAAGTTGTTGAATCCACAGAATGGATTCTAGAATGGTCAGTACACTTAATTATAAAGAGGACTAGTTAATTATAAAGCTCTTATGGGAGTTTAGGCAAAGGGTCATGAGGCCTGAAGTAGGTAGAGATAACACAAATGAAAAAACAAGAGAAAAAAGGAACTTTAGTGATGATCTAGGAAGCTGCCACCCACCCAAACAGGTCATTAATAGAACCAGCTTTCAGTGAAGCCTTCCTGAGCTGGGCGTTTGCCATCCTGCACCATATGAAGCATTCTTCGTCACTGCCCTCATCACTTTCCCCTGTCACACCCAGGGGCCCTCCCCAGCTGTGCTCTCAATGAAGGCAGGAACCCATCCATACTTGTAGCCAGGGGATAGTGAAAATATTTAACAACTGGGTGACACAGGCACTAACCATCAGAACAGAGTCCTGGAGGCCCTTAGAGTGCCAGGGGTTATGGGGGGG